TGCTGAACCATCTAATAAGTGTAGATGTCTTTAACATGTGAAATACACTCGGAGCGGCCGGTGATCATGTCGCCCTTCGACACCTACAGGTCTGCGTGTCTCTGTCTGCCTCTCACAATCTGCATGTGCTTCATTTCAGTCATGAGCAGCGTCTTCATTGTGGCAGGATCGCTGGTGTTGATAACGGCTGGGGCGTGTTGGGTCAGGTGAGATATGAAATCCTTCTACACTCTGCTCCACTCCCTGTGATGTGTAACCCTAACCCTATTATAATTTTTATGAGAAAAATAAACAGATACACTCCCTTTTTTTAAAAAGCACAGAATTAACTAAAAAGAAAACGTTTCAGCCACCTGATTAACTTAGAATTTTATGCCTCAGCAATTCAAATGATTTAAAACATCTATAACGTATCATAAAAACTTTATGGTAGAAAAAAATTAAATTGTGTTACCGTTTGGCAGCTTTGCTAAGCTAAATGTTTATAATTTTGCTAGGGAAATGTAAATTTTCGGCATATGCAACTTAAAAAAAAGATGTTGGTGCAGTAACATGGTTGCTACTGAGGGTAGAGCTCTTCTGAAGTAGCTTCTGGTTAAAGGCATCTTTCTGTTTTCCTGGAAAAAAGTTTTCCTTTATTTGAAGGTCTTTTTAAACAACAACCATTAAATTACATTTTTTAGTTGCAATCACAATAAAACACTTTAGATTGTTGCAGTCTGTTCCATGTGCAGTTTAAGTGCTCATCAAGTACTCTACACTATAATCAAGTACTTTATACTTTAACCAGTTTTGATGAATCAGTCATTTTTGTTTCAGATTGCAGAAAGGTCTGAAGCTGAATCAAAAGATAGAAAGTTCCAGACATCGACTGATCCGAGCTCAGGCTTTTGACAACATGGTGAGCAGAATATCTCTGGATTGTTACTGATGTAAAAAAAAAACATGAAATAATAGCAGATTAAAAAATTGTAAAAACATTTCTTTTTATCTGTTTTGTACGGAGCCTCTAAAAGGACATGGGGGAAAAAAGAAACGTATCTCGCGCTCATGAGATAGTTTCTTGTGCTCAGGTTAAGCACAGGCAGTTGTGCTTTCTGTGCGCATGGCCCTAGGCTCTTTCTTTCTTTCATGACGTATAATCCATTATTATTATTATATATTTCGTGATAAGTTTCACATTATTTCGTAACAAGTTTCACGTAATTACGTGATAACTTTCACGTTCAGTGGTCCCTCTCTTTATCGTGGTTCTACTTTCGCTTCCTCAGTCCATCGCAGATTTTTAAAAAAATCCAATCTCGTGACATTAAAAATGTTTTAATTTCCAATATTTTCATTATTTTTGTGAAAGATAATATTCTAGCCTAAAAGTGAAAACTGTATTTAAATGATAAGACATTTTGCCACACATACATACAGGCTAATACATAAAAAAACCCAAAATAATCATGGACGATTGGGAAATCTAAGATACCGGCATGTCATGTGTGACATATGTACTGTATATATGGTGAGCATTTAAGCTGTTGTTGTTGTTGTTGATAACAGTGTAGGGAGGTTCGTGAAGGGTAAATACGTATATACGTAAATATTAATAACTATCTCGACTCTACTACGTGAATTTTCCCATTTCTTGGGTCTTGAAAAGCAACGACTGCGATAGGAGAGGGACCAGTGTATTTCGTGAACTTTCACGTAATTACGTGATGTCTGTAAAGCACATTGAGTTTGCTTTGTGCACGAAATGCGCTCTATAAATAAAGTTGAAATTAATGAAATGATGAAAGCCCACCTGCGAACCAAGAATATGGCTCGTTTACACGATTCAGTTGAATTGTACTTTATGCTAGGCTTGAGGCTTGGTGAGATTTTACAATTATTGGGCTCAGTGGATGAGATTTACTGTACATTAGTATGCATACACTTAGAAGGATGAGGAGGATTTACGTATATACGTATTTACCCTTCACGAACCTCCATACATTGTTATCAACAGTAGAACAACAACAACAACAGTGCCCTCCTGTGTCTAACTGAGGTATCCTACATTAATTAAATGCTCACCATATATACAGTACATATGTCACGCATAACATTTCGGGATCTTAGATTTCCCAATTGTACGTACTGTCCATGATTGTTTTGTTTTTTATGTGCTCCCCTGTATGTATGTGTGGCAAAATGTCTTAGATATACTTTGTCGTGCTCACGAGAAAGTATCTCGTGCTCACGCGAAAGTATCTGAAAAGACCGACTCTTTTTACTGATTCGGATCTTGGACTCTCGAACAGTAAATTTAACGAATCATTTCATTCGTTTTACAGCAGGTGGCGTTGTAAAGAAGGCTGTGGTTCTACGACACTAAATACTGAAGGCAACATGGTTTGCTTCCGCTGACAAAGTCTACAAAGTACACAAAATGCCATAACAAATTAAAACCATGTGAAAACTTAAGAAATAAAAACCACACCACAATGTGAAGATAAATGAGAGCAAAAGAGACCCGAGTTCTCTGTCACGTGACAAATGAAACGAATCTGCGAGAACGAAGCGAAAGATTAGTTCACGGAGAGTGATTCGTTTGCAGAGAGTGATTTGTGAGTGATTCGTGAGTTCAATATCAACAAATCTTTCATATGACTCGGGAGTCACGAGTCAAATGAAAGCATCTCTAGCGAGCGACACATCACTAATGCGCAGTAAAATGATTATGAGGAAAGTGATGATGACTTTTACTGCGCAGCCGATGATTGATTTCACGTCTCTTCAGAGGGTGGTGCTTTTTTGCGAGGCTGCAAAAACATTGTGATCAGCAGTTGCTTCCGCTGATTATTTTACCAGTCATAGAGTAGCTTGTAGGCAGTCACGACGTCGTCTATTTTGTTGCAAAATTGGACCGATCGAACCATATCGTCGTCCCATTCCTGTGCCATCTCTCGCAGAACCAAATCCGGGATACAGTATATTTTATATATACAATTTCAAAAACCCGCGAAGTCGTGAATCCGCGAAAGATGAAAAATAGCGTGGGACTACTGTAAACATAGTCAGCATTTGGATGTATTATCAAGATACTATTTTTTCAAATAATTTTAATTCTAAGACGTTTAATGTTTAACATTAACATCAGAATAACATAGTTATAATTCTAATAAATACAAATACTATTGTATAAAAAAGTTTTAAAAAATCCTCACAGCTGTAGTGAAGATTTTCTTCTACCTCACAATTGCGACCACATGGGTCTGTTCAGCGTCATCATAATGAAGACGTGTGCAGTGCAGACACATGCTCATTACTGTTGTCATGGTTCACCCTTTTACAGCCTGGTGACAAGAAGCTGGCCCACAGTGCCCAGATGTATCACTACCAGCACCAGAAGCAGCAGATGCTGTCCCTGGAGAAGTGAGTCATTTGTCCAACTCAGTCACATCGTCTGGGTTTGGACTGGACAGGGTCTGCGTGTGTCATCCTGTCCTCAGTCTGCCTTCCTATTCGCACCTCTTTAATCTGACTAATCAGATGAATATATTGTGTGCGTGTGTTTGGTTGTGGTGTATACAGACCCAGGGAGATGCCAAAGGTCCCCGACTCAGGTGCATCCACAGATGAGGAGAATGAGGACGGAGATTTCACAGTGTACGAGTGTCCTGGGTTGGCACCTGTAAGTAATTACAGCAATATCTCCATCCACCGTTCTATGTATCTATTTCTATTGACATCTATTCATCCATCTATTCATCCATCCGTCAATTATTCCATGCATCTACCCTTTCGTCCAGCTATTAAGGCTGTGTTATACCTTTTAGGCCTTAGAGACACCGTTTACCATTGTATAGAGCAGGCATGGGCAAACTACCACCCGGGGGCGGGATGCGGCCTGTTTGACTTTTTAATCCGGCCCGCCAAAGTTGTCCAAATTATGTTATTAATTTATATTAGCACCATACTGCCTTTTTTCCTGCAATGTCAACATTACCTCATTAAATGACATAGAAAAGCCTAAAAACATTTTAACATTTTAGCCTTTATGTATGACTTTTACATCATTTACCATAGTTCACATTTTCGACAGAGTTCACCTATCTGCTCCTGACCCGGCCCTCTTGTTAAATTTTTGGACCTATTGTGGCACGACAGTCCAACAGTTTGCCCACGCCTGGCATAGATACAAATAAAGCAATATCCCTGAACATCTGGTTAGATGTGGATGTTATCATTTCATTATTAAAAAACATTATTACAATAATTGAATTACAATCACTCATTGTTGTCACTAATTAATCAACATGCACTGTTATAGTTCTTGTTCTTCTGATAACCTGCCCCGTGATATTTACCTAATTTGTTGCGCACAGAACCATAACATTTGACAACATTGTTATGGCAAAGCCTGCAGATGATTCTGCAGCTGTAGTATCCACTGACATGTTGATGTTTTGTTAAAAATGTAGCAGGTCATAAAGTTTATTATGTCACATAAACTACATGTATACTGTATGTAGAAAATAAAATCAGCACAGGTGCCAGTCTGTCAATGTCTATTGAATGACAGTGTTGACGACAGTAGCCTGAACAGATACAAATTGATCTCTGCTCACAACATTGCAGACCCATTAGCTCTGAAATGAAGATTACTTCAGGGACATTTCCAATGAAGGTCTGGCTTTTAATAAAACAGAATCTAACAAAACTAATGTGAGTGGTGCTAATGTTGGTGTCTCATAGCTTGTTGTCCAGTTCAAAATGTTCCCTGTGTCAAAGCTGTGTTTTCTACCAATAGTACTACCATATTTAGTACACACACAAAGTAGTTCGAAGGAAAAGGGTAACATTAGAAAGTAGTAATGATAAGTCACGACTTCCACCTGTTGCTGCTAGCGTTTAGTTTGAGCTCTATGGCGTCAACCAAGCTCTGCTGCCACTTACTGGCTGTGAATTGTACTGCACCTTTGTTGTTTAAAGTCTAACGACAACTCCGACGTTATCCGCAGTATCGATTTTTTCGTATGTAATGTGTCTTTGGGTGAGCAGAGCAATAGAATTTTGGACAAAGATGATGTTTGTTTAGGAAAATGGGGAAAACCTTATATGTTCATAAAGTGTTACCAAATTTCAATTTAGCTAAATAAAAAGAATGAAATGTGTCTCTATCTGAGGTGATACCATTATGAGATGGGGTATTACCATTAGCATCTAAACTGAACCCTTCGACTACCTTTGTAGAAAAACAATGTTTTGGTTCTAATAATTAAGAGTTAACCTCTCTCTCTCTCTCTTTCTCTGTCTCTCTCTTACTGTATTTCTTCAGACAGGGGAAATGGAAGTGAAGAACCCGCTGTTTGATGACACTCCTCTTTACCTCCACAAGTTCCGCTAGTAAACCTGGTCTTTCAAACACTCCAAGTCTGAATGCAGCACTTTTGTGTAGTGTATTTTACACACAAGCTTTCTCGCACTCTCTCTCTCACACACACACTCAAGTATGCTCCACACACACACAGCAATGTCCAGTGCAGCCCTTTTGACAGACAGAATGGAAAAAAGTGTAGGAATTATGGGAGAGGAGTAGGAAGAGAGGCCAGACGATGATGGACCTTAAACGACATCACGTGTGGCTGCCAAGGACTGACTCTTAGACAGGTGTCTACCAACACATTTATCTTCTTTCATTTTCTTTTCTTTTTACATTTCTTTGTTGTTGTGTTTCTTTGTTTTGTGCAGTTGTCATCTTTACAAAACAGTAGAACATAATCAGTTCAACATATTGTCACTATAGATATTGATTGTCATCAATCAGTTAATGATTCTTCACCTATTTTGTTATCCCTGCTGAATTTTGGTTTTATTCATGTATTTTTAATGTTTTTATGTTCGTTGTTGTTAAATGTTTCATGAGGTCATTATTGCAGCGTTGTGATCTGTATCACTGTTATGTAGCCATTGTGTTCTCAGTATAGTTGCTCTATGCATGAATCAATGATGACTTGTATGAAACATGGAAGTTAATATGCATCGGCAGTTCTCGCAAGTTTCTTTTGCAAACTTGGGGTTATAGGAATACGCAAACACAGGAACACTTAGGGATGTAACAGTATCAAAGTCTCACAACGTGATGGACCCAAAATACATGTTATGCATTGATGTTTAATTATATAGCAACACTTCAGCATTCTAATTGTATGGACACTTTATTATTTATTGAAAAATCATCAAAGTTTTCCTATTCAGTATTTATCACAATAATGTGAAAATATCATTGGTACTCACATATATGACATGTTTTTGGTACTATCAACAACACATTGATCATAATATACTGTAGCAGTTATGTTCACTGTACATTTGTTTGTTATTTGTTGTCATATTTTGTTATTGTATCCATGGTACGATATTTCAATAGTATCTCAAGCAAGATATTTATTATAATATCGTCATAGTATCAACTGTGTTATATTTTCATAATTCAAAAGCAGTCCTGACTATATTTGTAGATCAAAATATCGTGATATTATATACAGTATAATATTTATCACAATGTAGAAAAGTATTAAGGGACAGGGTGTTTTAAAATATTTCTCACTTCAACATAGTACTTAATTGTGAGTCCAAGTAGTACTATATCAATTTCAATATATCGAGTTGTTACACTGGGCAATATATCTGGCCAATTTTGGATATTTGTTTGTGCTCATCAACGTATGTGGTTTACACTGTAAATCACACATCTGGCAGTGCTTTCTGAAATATTGTAATGCCATCTAAAGTGAGACTTTATCACAATATTTAGATAGTTTCCATAGTACAGTAAATATCCCAATATTGTGATAGTGTACCCAGTACAATATTTATTGTGATTTTTGGCCAGTATCCATGGTGATAATATCCAGATTAGTGTTATGGTTTTTGCAATATTGTGATATTATACATTACTTTTGAGCTGCTCCTGAAACTCAGCCTGAATGTGGAGGTTGATTTAGCTTTCTGCTGTAAAAGTAAAAATCACTGTGGCTTATGCAGTTCTTTTTGCAGAAATTCAAACTCTTGTATTTGATCACTGCTGTTTACAAGCACAGGTTTCGCAGCACATTTTGTGATTTTGGAGGAATGAGACTAATGCTAGCTTATTTGTAGGATTCACTCCGTTGAGTATACAGTACGCTGACTGCATCACTGAATATGGCTATTTTGTTTTTATAGGTCTGATATCTTATTTAAATTGAATGACAATTGAAAGTATTGGAATGTCTTATGGTCACAGTCAAGGTTTTTGGAACCTGCTGGCCAATAGTGGTACTCTGTCGAAAACAAATCTTTTGAGTGGCCTTTATAATTAGACATGTAGGGTGCAACCATTTTTTCCATACAGCCCATGTGTTACCTCAGTGAACTGTGTTCAACATTTATCCTCATAGTTTTACACCCTCACAAACCCACTGTAGGACAGAAACCATTTGATTTAGATATTATTGTGGATTTGCCAATACTGTTACATCCCTAAACTACACAGATAACTTGAATGATTTCAAAGGAATTTGAAACTTCTTTTACCTAGAACTCTGAAACAGAGCGAGCCCATCCTGTATATATGGTATCTGTAAATACAGCTGTTATTATGTGTAGTAAGAAATCTTACCTCTCACTTGGTGTGTTACTGCACATCTTTCTCTAGACTCCTGTGTACTGTGTCAAATATTGCTCTGTTTGCTTCCTTATCTTTGACTGTATTTGCAACATTCTGACACACTGTATGAGGGAAATACAGTGTCAGAAATGTAGTGCTTTTCAGGTTTGGAAAATGCTAATAAACTGTTCTTTGTTTTGTGCACAGCTTTTATATATATATAAAAAATGAACAGAAAGAAACTGCACGCCATAAAATTCTGTAGCTTCTGACCAGAGAATATTTTATTCACCTTTAGCAAAACATGACCTATCGGTAAATGTCCAGGAGAGGACTTAATTAAACTATTTAGATAAATATTTTATTATTGCATTTTGGAGTTTATTCTATAAGTTTATTTACATATATATGGTAATCCTTGAAAAAAATCAAACCTCATGTTTTGTTTTTTTGTTTTTTGTTTTGTTTTTGAGAGTGAATGTTGATCCAAGTAATGAAAAGATTTTAGCTTTAAACCTGAAAACATGGCCCTTTAAATGTGGTCATTGTTATTTAAGGTCGGGGCTAGAGTGGTGCAGTGTTAGGATTTCTGTCTGCCATAAAGAAGGTTCTAGGTACAATTCCAACCAGTTACTACTCCTAGCATCAGAAATAGAATCTGGTTCTAAAACTGCTGTGGTGACCACTGATTAAGGAACAAGCTGAAAGTTAACAAATACTCTCAGTATGAACAGATAAAAACCCAGATTATTATGGTTCAACATAAAGTATGAAGCTGCTTACTTGATAGAGTCGCCTACTGCTGCTATTATGAAGCTGATCTGTGGGAGCAGAGTTTTTTGCATGCTCAAAATTATATTATATTATAGTATATATATATATAATTATAGTATATATATAATATAATATATTATAATATATTTATATATAATATATTATTATAGTATATATTATATACTACTAATATATTATATTTGCAACATTAGCCACTTATTTACAACACCCTGCTGTACCTGTTTGGTTTAGATATTGTAATAGAGTAGTAAAAGGTCCATAACAGCAAAGTTGCATACGCACACAGCACTGATTGACATGAATAATTTAAATGATGAATATTCTCCACTTTTTCCTCTCCTGGACATCTGACCATCACCCGGCCTATACACTGTAAACTTATGGAGTGTCATGTATTTAGCAGCTGGTTGTGGTTATCTGATTAACTCCATGGACTGATGTATATGTTACTGTGGCCACTTGTTGTTTTTTGTTCTCTCAGGAAAGCTGCTCAGCGACAGCTCCTCTCCTCAGCCAGGACACACTTATCACACTTTTACTTGATCTGCACACAAACAAACACAGAAGTTGTAGAATGTAGTTAAAGTACAGCAGAAACCAGAGAGTATTACAGCAGTGGTTCAACTAAACATGCTTCATTTCCTCATGATTTTGCAGATTGTCATGGGTTAAATAACTGGAAACGAGACTACGATGATAATTCTGATATTTGCCTTTTCGAACTGCACACAGCTTTGCTTTGCAATTACCAGTGCTGAGTATGTGTGATGATGATCATGACGATGATGATAGTACACCTCAGAAGGACAGACCTATGCCCAGGACAAGGGAACGACCATGAGACAAGCTTTCTTTGATAAAGACTGTTTTCAGAATACATACTGTATACATTGTCTTCACTAAGGAGTGATGTCCCACTATGTTAAGCATGCACCTGGATATACCAGAGCTGAATTTAAAATAAATAAAAATAAAAATTTATATTATCTGAAGTAAAGCATATAGTTGTGAAGTGTATTTTTCCAAGTTACTTCTGCCTTCTGGATTAGTTCAAAACTTAAACTTAACTTTGTATCTAGATTAGTTATCACCTCAGATAAAATGTTGGTGGATTGGTGGAAAGTCAGTCAAAATATGACCAGGATCTGTCTTCTGTGGCCCATATTAGGCAAATCAGTGAAATGTAAAATAAAAATAAAACTCTCAAATATTATGTCAGAATTATTATTTACCGATGTGAGTAAAGTTATGAAACGCTCAACAGTTCATGCAATTTGCCGTTATAATATCTTGAGCCACTAGATGTCAGGAGTGCACAGTGTTCAAATGAATTGGTAAACTGCCCTGTCATTAAAGGGCTCTTTTTTCAACATTTGATGGAAAATGTTTGTTTCGTATAGACGGACAAATGTAAAAAAAAAAACCGACTTATTAGTTTGGTTTGCATAACATGATTAAAAGTATGCTGAGTTATTTGTAATAGTTTTCAACAGTTTTCAGGCAATTTTCAGGTATCTGAGCTAGTTCTTCTTTGTTCCCAGTGCGTCTCCACGTGCTGATCCAATGTGTATTAGCCATGTGGCTAATACACAGGGATGATTTAATCCACCGAGTCTATGAATCTAAATTAAATACTTTTTCATAATTAATTAATCATTTAAAAAAGTCACAAAAAAATTCTATCTCGATCGTGATTATTTTATAGAGTATTTTCAACCGAGTGAGGAGGGTGTGTTAAGTACCCTAACAGAACCAGCTCACTAAGATGATTTAGATTCGTACGTAAAATCCGGAAGTCATGTGACTAGGGATTGGCTTTTGCTTTGAAATTCCAGGTTGGAAGTATATGTCGTTCAGACAGCAGAGAACTTCACAGTTGGCTGTCGCAGCTTGTGCCCTGCTCCAACTCCTAACATTCCGATAAAAGCAGAGCAGACGGCCCGGGGACCTGCACCCGCACAGAGGACAACATACCGGACTCTGCCGATGTCCCCACAGGGTAGACAGTTAGTCACAGGAGAACATTCGTTCATCTGCTCTCACAGACTGCACAGAGACGTTGTATATAGTCTATTTCTAACGTACACCAACACATTCAGGCAGCGGTGAAAGGCGCACGGATGCCCAGGGATGGGATGGTAATCTCCCGGTTACTGAGTCGCAGCTTCCGCAGGGCCACCATCACTACCGACACCACCGGCAACACAACCGTCATGCTAATGTGACTTTAGGACAGAGAGGAGTAAAAAAAAATGGGTTTCCTGCACCAGCTCCATCTCCTGCTGTGGAAGAACATCTCCCTGAAGAGGAGAGGACCGGTAAGGCAGTTGGTGAAAGCATCACAACAAGTCCTGCTGCTTATTTGTTTGTTTGTTTGTTTGTTTGTTGGTGTGTTTGTTTGTGGAGCAGACGGGCGTGGGTTCAGTTGCTGCTGCTGCAGCTGCATTGCCTACAGATAAGATTATTTGGTATAAATCCACCAGCACCTGCCTCTGTCTTCCACTGTCACCATCGGGCATTATTTAAGACACACTGCAGCATTCTGTGTAGGCAGCCTAATGATGATGAGAACGAGATAAGGGTGATAATGATGATGATGATGTCTCATTGATCAACGATCAGGGTGTGTGTTAGTCTTGACTGCACACAAGCTTCTGTCTGTTTCCTGTATGTGCTTCTCCTGTCAAACAGGTTGTTGTTGCTGCTGCTGCTGCTGCTGAGACAGTTTAGTGAACCCTGTGTGCGATGCTGTCATAGCCTTATTGGTTATTGTATTGACAGTTATATTTGATTGATTCAAAACATGTCAGGAGATTAAATTGACTCTGCAAAAGAGCCACAATTCAAAATAAGATGAGAATAATGGGAGTCCGTTCTTCTGACAAACCTACAAGTGTTAAAGGGAGAACAACATCCCACTGATTTATACAAACAGTTCTGGTGAAAATGATTTTCCTGTCAATAATTTGGCAGAAGTAAAAGAGAGTAAAATTGTTATTATTTTATTGCATAAAAAAATTGTAGTGTGCTGGAATTGTTTTCCACAAAATGATTCATATTTTGAAAATGTACATGATAGTCATTTCATGATGCTTTCTTCAGCATAAATGCTGCAGTGTAAACTTTGCTACTTCAGTTTACACAGATTTGGGGATTTTTCACCATATGCAGATTACACATTACACTGGCTCTTAGAAGCACAATGAAATAATGATAAATCCCTAGAATGTCTTGCAGCCTTTTTAGCTTGAATATGTGCACTATACAGATTGGATTTTAATTTAAACTCCTATTTAACCTAATTGTCTTTTGATTATTATTTATTGTATTATTTGTATGTGTGCACTGCAGATCAAGTGAGTGCCTCAAGGTGAGGCACTCACATTCTAACCTGAGGACAATGTGTCACTGTCAGATGTCATTTCCTGATGAAAGCTGATACAGAGTGCATATATAAATAACATATATTTAGTCATTAAAATATGAGATGAAAGTAGGACCAACTTTGCAGCTTGTTATATCCCATCAACATAAGCTGTCTCATTGTACAGTATATAAGGAAAAAACAGTATATAAGTGTAGTTTTATTTATAATATGGGAGAATATTTAGGTGTGCAGATAAGGTTGTGTTTCTATTGTAAATTGCTCACAGCTACGTTTGTCATTAAAAACATGCTGCAGTAGAATAATTTATCCCTGTAAAGAGTCGACATCACCAAGTAACATGCAACAGGCCGGAGAGTGGCTGGTTTTGCAGAAATGGGTACAAAGTCCGTACCATTATTGCCATGGATACAGAGATATGAGCGGCTCCTCAGGAAGCCTCGTGTTTGACAAACACTTAAATAATCACCAAGGAGTGTGCCGGCTGACTCACCAGAACAGCTCTTAAAAATGTTACTGTATGTAGTTCTTTTTTATATATACTGTCCTCCAAGGTCAGGGTTACTGTGTATGTTTTAACAACAGCTGGTGTTGCATTCAAATCCTACACGTCGAATTGGAATGCAATGCAAATGTACGGAGGATAATGTGGTAATGTTTATAATTTCCAGTCAAGAGTTAGAGTTCCACCCAGCCTAGAACAAACAATGAAGAATTGTGTGTCAGATCAGATAGTGAGAGTTTCTGTAACTATTAGCAATATTCTGGGATGTAAAAGGACAGCTAATGACAGGGAGGAGATTTCCAGTTTCCTCATAGTCACAAAGCAAATAAATTGACCTCAAAGTATGTGTTTTTGATGATAATTGGTTAAATTAACTCCTCCCTGCTCTCTTAGATGTTTTATCATCCACACTCCTCACAAGGCTTCAACAGGCCTGTCATCTGCTTCTGTAAGATTGCACACATCACCAAGCTGATAAAAGACAGTATTTGAACGGTGGGTCTGTGGGCCTGCTTTGACTAAAAACCTTTTACAGATAAGCACAAAAGCGCCAAAGCTTTTAGACTTTCCTTTTCGCTGCAGCTTTACACTTGGAGAATTGATCCAGTGTGCACTGAGGCTCGGCAGTAACATGGAGCAAATACCACTGTTGTTGATGTAAAACTAACAGCAATTACAAACAAAACAACTTGTTTTTGTTGCCAACCCTGGATCGGTGGTATTTGAAGGGTTTAAAGTCATCAGGGCTTATTGGAGATACAAAAGTGACAAGAACCTCATTTACCACAAATTTAACAATGTGTTCTTTCATCTGATTGACTCTTTGGTCCCTGCAGGAAATTTACTTCTTTTTTTATTAGGTTTTGTTTCTAGTTTGTTACTTGAGTGAGCTCTGGGCATCTCATGTAACTTTTGGACAACTGAAGATCAATAGTCTCTAAAAGGCTTCACTTTCATAGGTCTTCTGTATATGTCTTGATTGTCATTAAAAATACTCTGTGACATCTGGGAAAATTCCTTTCTGATAATGACTTAATTTTATCATTTGTCTATATTTCCTTATCTGTATTTAAGATTCATCTACAGAATAAATTAAATAGATAAACGACATGTTCCGGTCCACGATGGCTCTTTTCATTTCATGTCTCAAAAGTATAGATTTTGAAAGTGTGGCATAAACCCTGTGGTGTTTGTCCTGCTTTTTTAAACTGAGGTTGGATCTGATCTCAAGTTTCCTGAGATATATTAGTTGCTGATGCCTTTACTGGCTTCCTGATAGAGTTTGGGTTTTTTATGTTTGAGTTGTAAGAGTGGGCTGAGTAGGATCTATTTTTACCCCCTCTACCTTCAGACACTGAGCTAAGAGGAGGCCCTGGAGAGCTTCTGCAATAATAATAGCTACAGCTGCATCATTCAGGCCTATACTGTAGATTTATAATCACGCTGCTCCAGTTTAGCCTCACTAAAGTTGTCCATAAGATTGATGGTGAGAGCTAAGTGATGCAGTCAGCACTTACCTGAGATAGCATCAGTTTCATGTGTTGGATTCTTTAACAGAGAACCAGGAGAAACTCTTTCCTCATGACTGATACTGTACACATCAGAAAACACAACCTGCACCTTGTTTTCTTGACTGTGTAGGAATTGTGGGTACACTTACTCCACATTATTGGTAGAACACTCATATCAAACAAAGACATTTTGGCATTCAAGTATCATAAAAAAATAATATCTGTCAGAGTCTTCACATTAGACTCTAGGAAGGACCAATTTTTTTCTTTTTCTAGATAAATTCTTTGGGGGCTGATCATGGAGTTAAACCTCATGAAAACTAGCAAAAACATCCTAAAAAAAATCTATGTTGACTCAATAAAGTGCAATATTAATATATATAAAACATTGTAGTGGGTTTAGCTCATATTTCCCGTGATCTGCATTCTTTTAAAATTCTATTTTAAATGGGATCCTACAGCAGGTGGCGCCCTAAGTGATTGCCTCTGTGGCCTATGTCAAGCGACAGCTTTGCCCAAATTCTATAGAAGAGGACGTGGAACTGACTTTTACTGCCTCACTTTGCAACAAGAGCCTGCAGTGGAGGACGCACTACCCTTTTATTTACTTGTTTATTTATTTATGTATTTTATTTATTTATTTCAAATGGTAACCAGTGCCCTTCTTTGCTGTGAGGCATCTGTGCTAACACGGTGCAGCCATGGTGCCGCCACGAAAAACTACTCTGTAATAAAACAAATTTTACAATGGTCACGTTGCATTAAATAAAGACAAGAACTAATCAATGATAAATGCAGCACACCACTGTTTAAGGCTTAATTCATACATCCAGTACAGTAGCACTTTTCTGCAGTGGAGATGCTACATAAGTAATGCGTGTCTGCCAGTGACCTCTAAACAGATGTGGCATACATTATCCAAACACTCTTAGCTGTACTGAACCGTTACACAGTGTGTCTGACCCAGATCTAGTCTGGCTTTTCATCATCAGTCTTACAATAATCTGAATCAGAGCCACATGACAGGTTGATGGAGAAAGCTGGGATTGAAAAAAAAAAAAAGGAAAAAGAATAAGGAGGAAAAAATGTATAAGCATGAGGGAAAGGGAGAGGGAAAGAACAGGAAAAGTGTGGTGAGGGACAAGTCCAAGTTGGAGTATAGAGTTGCTGGCTGATAAGGGAACGTGCAAATCTGTAGCAGAAGGTTAACTGACAGCTAAATGAATTATAAATGCTATCTGTAGAGTCTAATAGAGCAGCTGCTGGTGCACTGAGGCCTGGCACTGGAGACAGCAAAGGATATCAATAAATCCTGGGAGGTCACAGCAACAGGTCTTTCGCTGGATGAAATGTTGTTCCTGCTGTATGAATGATGGTCCCTGAAGGTCTGTACTTTGACTAGAAAATGTGAATCAAATAAGCTGAGCAAAGCTGCTTAGGTCTACAGAGTCTTAAGTCTACAGAGTGACACGATGGACTATAGGCTGATTAAACTTTCTACCACTCATTGAACTCTACTGATCAGTACCTGAAAAACTGGCTGCTGTTTATCCCTGTGCACTCTGTTCCATCACTGACTGTAGACATCATACTCACCACTGGATGACATAATAATTTATAAATGTATACTGGGTCTACTTCCATCATGTCTTTGTGAGCTCATGATTTTGAGTCAGAGTCAGTATGATTTATGTTCTCAAAGTTCTCTACCGATGATGTAACTGAGAGTGAAAACAGAGCTTGGGAAAACAACTTTTACATTTCTTTCACCATCTTCTTGGAGTAATTTCTTAAAGGATTTGAATCTGCCTGAACTTGTCATCCTTGGAAAATTTAAATCCATTTAAAGGAAAGAGAGAGATATATATATTTTCTTGGTATCTGTAGCTGTTTTAACTGAGTTTTAACATTGTGGAC